ATCTGTGGCGTCTGTCATAAGTATATCTTTTACGGAAAAATAATTTTTCAATTGTAAGTCTCGACTAAACTAATGTTAAAATATTATGTATTAATGTATACAAGAATTATGAATTTTTTTTGAAAATACAGGTATTAGACATAAAGACTATAATGTATTATAAATGAGACATTTTTAGAAATAAATTTTTGATGAAAACACTTAGAAATCATAATTTTTAGCAAAAAAATCTAAAAATGATAAAATATTATAATATTTGCAAAGTTACTGTTGTTTGAGAGCAATATTTAGTTTTATTTTCGTAATAATAATCAATGTTTAGCTCAAAGCCAAGTATTTATTGATTATTTATGAGCACTCATTGCTGAGTGTAGGCAAAGTTTTATGTTTAAAACCTTAGCACTAGTTTTATGCATATTTAATGTTCCGACTGAGCCCTGGGATGAGCTCTCATGCCTCTCAGCTCTCATCTATGCATCAAAAGGTATTTGTGTGCCTTCACTGTGGCTTCACTTCAATATCATTGTCGTATCAAATCCTGATCTCTGCTTATCTCTTATCACATCATATCTAATGCACTCTATTTTATATAACACACAAAAATGAATTCATAATAAGTTTCATACAATGAATGCACAAGAATAGCATTTTACCCCATAGTCTCTGATATCCCCTTAGATTTGGTACAAAAATATACTCTTTTATGTATCACTTAAACAGATATTGTATTTAAAGACAAATTTCAATGAAAAGATAAGGAAATATTGATTGTTTATCATAAATATGAACTAACCCTATGCCTTTATTGAATTTTTGCTAACTTTTCTAACAATTTTGCCCATTTTTATATACGATTCTTTGAATGATTTTACTTTAAGCGTACATTACTTTCATATTTAGGCATAAATATATATTTTGTGGTTATTTATTAAATAATAAATGTTTTGTGTTGAATGCAATAAGAGTTGTCGTGAGATTCGTAAATATAACGTAAAATCAGAATAATTGGGGAAAATACATAAATCATATTTTTTATGAACCATAGATTCAATGATCATGTTTTTATAAAAACGTTTATAAAAAAATCCCATTTTTCTCATAAAAATTGAATGCAATTCCGAAAACATAGCGAAATATATATTCATTTTCTTAAGTAAAACGCGCGAAGAAAACTGATTTTATTAAATGCCAATTATTTGATTAATTACTGTATTTTATTAATAAATGAATTTTAATTAACTGAAAATTTGGTAAACAATTAATTCAGACTTAATGCGTTCATAAAACACAAAATGCAGTGAAATGTACAAAACTTGTACTCAATTAAAATTATAAAATAACTGCAATAGATGTAAGAGTTGTGTAAAATACAGGAATATCCAAAAATGGACATGATAAATTATAACGTTACATATAAATACTTACATTATATTGGTCTTATAAATTAATATTGCTTATTATTAATATATTGGTGCAACTGATATATGTTAATGTTCATATAGATTTAGTATAGAAACTGTAACAAATTAATTTTATAATTTAGGTTTAAGTTAACAACAATTTAAGTTAACATTCTTAGACACCATAAATCGAGTTTCATAAAGTTTCATAATTAGCCTTTATACAGCAAATTTTTAAACAAAGTCAGACAAACTAATGTTTTCCTATCGAAAGGTACCTGTCTTTGTAATTACCGACGGTTGAAATCGTTTGTGAAGTTCATGCTCTCTAACATTAACAGAGATAATGGGAAACGCTTATTTTTTGATATCGTTAATATCGAAAACCATATCGTATTGTTAACCATATCTTATTCAATGATCAACTCTGATCGGTGCCTTAACTCTGGCCACTTAATGATCGGTAGTCGACCCGATTGGCGGCCTGTGTTCGATGAGTTCGTATTTGTAAGAAATAAAATAAGTTACCAATAAAACTGAAAATAAAACTATTTCTATTCAATAGTCATATATCTATTCCTATTCTATTCTTATGTTCTTAAAATATAAACTTTGATAAAAACAAATTCATTAAATTATTTAAAAGCGAACGTTCTTAAGGTCTATATACCTCCTCCCCCTCCTTCGCAAAAGTTCGCTTTAACCGATATACCCCTTCCCTAAGTGCGAACGTACTTTGTGAACCACCCCCAATGAAATAAAGTTAAGCCCTTTGGCCACACAAACTGATAGATGGATCAAATGATTGGTTTTATGGTTGTGTTATCAGTATTTGATGAATGAGAATATCGTATTAAGAGATGATTAAACACATACTTACGGTACACATCGGACAATGATATCGCTGTAAATCACTTGCAATGTTATTGCAATCATTACTTACAAACATTCATTTAATCGTATAAACAAATCTAATAAAACATTAATTTAATCTCAAATTGTTTAGATAATTGGTATCTGATTTTTATAGATTATCAATCTTACATCATTCAAGAATCATATAATATTGAAATAAAAATTACATATTTTTGTTAATTATTAATAATTGAATTGTTGGGATAATTATAAATAATATTTTATATGCATTTAACTATAGATTGAGGTTTGAGTGCAAGACTATTGGGTTGTGTTACACAAGTTGTGTTTGTAATAAATCATTTAGCATAACATGAGATGAGAAATATTGAGAATTTAATAATTTTCTCAAACAATTTATATTCCATAGCTATAACTAATGCATACATAATGTAATACTTATTCAAAATATATATTTATGTAATTTATTCCTAAGATTGGATTTGATATGCAATGAATAATAATAATCAAAATATTAATTCAATGCATTAATGCTTGGGATTTGAACGAGAGATTGATGTCCAATAAAAATACAAATAAAAATAATGTTTGGTTTTGTATTTAAATTCCGTAAAACTTTTTACATAAAATTAATAAAAATAATAAAACAAACACAAAAACAAAAACATTTTTAATATAGTATGCTTACAATGCTTGCCATAGATTATATAAGAAATTCTTATTAAAAATCATAATTAATATTACTTTTGGTGACTATTATGCCAGCTTATGTTTATGGGAAATCACAACTATAACATTACTTTATCGTGGAGTTAATTTTTTCATTGTAAATACAGTTAAATCTATGGACAATATTAACTTTTGGGTACTAATATTTCTGTGTGTTATTGACAGTAACTTCTTGTTAACACAACGATTTTAACAATACAGAGTTTAATGGTAATAATAAACAATTAAGAATATCTTTGTAGTGTTGACCAAAATGAAAAATTCTAAAAAATTTCTTCGTCTATGGGAAACCCATTATTTTCTATGGGAATCGTTCTTGACGTTATATATGATAGTACCCTCATTTGATTCTATTTTGTAGTATCAATTATTTATATTGAAATTGCAATTAATCTTGGAATCTTGGAATGGGGAATATATATAAATATTTTTATCTATTACCTTTACAAACAGAATCTCCTAATTATTGGTAGCTTCATACTCTAACAACCATGATTTGTTATTTGCCGATTTTCTCTATATAAAATGATATCAAATACACCCATATTTTAATAGCAGTATTTCGGTCTCAAAATCATGGTAAGATAAAATCTAATGTTTCCGCTTATTAATTAATATTTAGATTATTACTAGATATTTATTTGTAAATTGATATACAAAAAAATAAACTAATATTTTAAATTAATTTGAGATTCATATTATAGACATTTATTTAATTTTAGTGTTTTATATTGTCATAGAATACAGTAATAAATATTTGTATCAGTTATAAAGATTTATAAATAAATATTTAAATAAATATTTGATTTCTTTTTAGTAAATATTTGACTAGTTTTAATAAATAATATAATTTGATTATTTGACATATTTTAAAAGTGCTTAATCAATAAAATACATTAAAATGTAACCAAAATATATTATAATTTTATAAAGATTAGATTATATGATGATTAGTTAATTTATATCTAAATTCATAATGGCAAATATTTTGTGAGAATATAATTGTGTGAATACTGTACTAACAAATGAAAGAATAGTATTCGCATGAATGATAATTTACTAATAAATGAATGCCTATTATCTGACACCCGATTATGTCTGCTATTTGTTGGCAAATATAAATTGTTTTTGCATTCATTGCATACAAATCTTATATCACTTTACATACGGACAGTTAATTTATATTTTATTAACTCTATATATACTAATATATTATATGAAAATAAAGAATCATTTCTTATATAATATAATGGAATTTATTTTATGGAAATATTTATACGTAATTATAATAATTAAAATTATGATCAAATGATTTGCATTGGTATGACTTGAATATGGAGAGCATAGGGCAGAGCAATAATAATAATAAGGAGTAGTAGTGGTGGTGGAAGTGGTGGTAAGGGATGGCAATTAAAGGCTCATTCAGGCCCCGAAACTCTTTAGTGTCACGAAAATTGCGGCCTTTCTTTGAAATTATAATTCAAAAAAAGTTTAGTTCACTTTTGGTTCACTTTTTTTTGTTTCTCTCTAATAATGGCTTAAATGCAAAGAAATTGTAATTCAATTTTTTCTTCTCGAGAAATTTATACTAGACTTTAATGGAAGCATTAATATATGAAAATGTGTGTATAATGTGTATNTCAGGCCCCGAAACTCTTTAGTGTCACGAAAATTGCGGCCTTTCTTTGAAATTATAATTCAAAAAAAGTTTAGTTCACTTTTGGTTCACTTTTTTTTGTTTCTCTCTAATAATGGCTTAAATGCAAAGAAATTGTAATTCAATTTTTTCTTCTCGAGAAATTTATACTAGACTTTAATGGAAGCATTAATATATGAAAATGTGTGTATAATGTGTATAATGTATGTACATATAATGGCATGTAATATATTCTTAACTCGAGTTTAATTCTTGGAGGGATTTTCATAGAGAAGATAGGAATTGAAAAACTGAATAAAATTTAATAACAAGTTCTTGAAAATTTGAATTACATTTGGATGACTGTAATTAACATTACAAACGATTCACTAAATTTGCATTTTATGCAACCAATCAAAGCCTCTAATTTAGAGCTGAATTTATTTCATAGGAGAATATAATTTAACATAAAAGTTGTTTTGCAGGCAATAAACCATAAAAAATAGTAAGTTTATTAGCATTGAGGCCACTCTTCATGAGCTACAACCGGCACCGGAGCCCAAACTCCCAAATGGCAAGACTGGCAAAACGGGCCATTCATACACCACTACAACATGTATATAGTGAACATTGAATGGGTAACCCATCATCATAACCATCATGTTTTGAACGCCACCTTTCTTATGGCCCTTCTCTCCTCTCCCCTACTCTAAAGCCGATCCCATTATATTTGCACACATTTTGATGCATTTATGCGATAAACTGTTTAACAAAACATTTTCGAGAACTTTTTTTTACCTCAAATAATTCGTTATTTCCTTTTAACTAAAATAAACGATTCGTGCGTTAATTAATTGAATTGAATTTTGAAAATTTTCATAAATTATACAAATAATTAATAAAATATTCTGTGTTTTAAATGATAAGCGCACACAATATTAAAATTTATTTTAAATACAATTGTTAATTAAGTAAAAGCATAAATGCATAAATTATAAGTGGAATAAATTTTATAATAAATTAGTTAAATGTTGTAATAATTTTATATTATTAGCTGATCTAGTGTGAATTTTATAAGTTTAAATTTTATAGTTTAAAAATGTTTTTATCAATATTTTTAAAATAAACAAATATTTTTGTGAAACAATATTTTAATGTGAAATTCCAGACAAACATTGTATTTAAATAACGATTAAAATATATAAATAATTTAATAATTAAAAGTTTGATATTACTTCCATTGCTTGTATTTATATAAAATTTAAATTGTATTGCAAAACATGCTTTAAAATTTCTTAAATTTAAATATTCTTAAAAATGTGTTGCTCTAAACTTTATATAAAGAATAACAATTTTATATAGCTCTTACTGTTAATTAAATAAAACAATAATTACATTTTTAAAATGTTTACATATTTTCATAACGATATCCACTGATTAGAAAATGATTAAAATGTATACAATAATTGAATAAATAAAATAAATTGAATGCAGATTTATGTGAATTGGTAATTGATAATAGTAAATGACCTTGTTCGTTGCTCATTAGCCGTCATATGCCTATTGCTATGGCTCGGAAAGACCTTTCCACGAGGTATACACTGGAAATAGCCTTCAATTTCACCAAAATGTTTATATTAGAAATAAAGCGCAAACGCAGTCCTCAATCAAAGGTATTCATAATAATTATCATTTAGAAAAGTGTGAATTAAATTACATTCAATTCTTTTTAATCCCAATAATTATCGTCTTCTTCTTGTTGTCCACTAATTAATATTAGCGAAGAATAAAAATGTTTCTAAAAAATATATTTACCATAAGAAATAAATTGTGCGTCAATTTAGTCAACACTATACATGGTATGCAATCTTCTTATAAATTGAATTCATTGTTTATTTTTTAACTAAATTATAGTAACAATTATTTTATTTAATTGAAAAAGTGAATTTAATTTGTTATAACTTATCATTATTAAAGTAATTGTTTAGATCAAAATTTGAGCATCATGTTATGCGTATACCTTATGATGTGTAGAACCTTGATAAACCCTTAAACCCTATGTTTTATTATAAATAATGGTGAAAATTAAATTATAATTCATATATTTTACATAATACAAGGAAATTTGATCGTATGATTCCATACCATAAGACATTTATCATACGATAATTTATTTTTGTTAACTTTGTTTTAATAACTTTTATTAAAGTTTTAAAAGTTTAATAGTATTTTTATTTGCATTAAAATGACAGACAATTTCAAACCGATAACTATAATATAAAATGAGTATTTGGTTAAAAATGTTATTTAATTTCTCGGCATTTGATATTAATTTTAAAACTTAATACAATTATAGTCCGAAACAAAAGTCAGACATCAGTCGGTTTTATTGGGTTGGGAAACATGGGATCAAATATGGCTCAACATCTCATTAATAAAGGACACCAATTAGTGGTTTACGATGTTTTTCCAGAAGCGATGACCGCAATGGCAGATAAAGGAGCCGTTATAGCACAGTCACCGGCAGACTTGGCTCACAGATGTGACCGAATCATATCAATGCTGCCCACATGTGCTCACGTAAAGCAAGTCTATTGCGGCGATAATGGAGTGTTGAGTAAAGTAAAGTCTGGAACTCTTCTCATCGACTCGAGTACTATTGATCCGCAAACGTCTCAAGAAGTTTGTAAGGCTTCCCAATCAAAAGGAGCCGTCTTTATGGACGCCCCGGTCTCGGGCGCAGTGCCGGCCGCCAGGGCTGCGACGCTCACGTTTATGGTGGGCGGCAACGCATCAGAGGTGGAGGCTATTAGGGAACTGTTGCTATGTATGGGCAAAAACGTGATACATTGCGGTGCTGTGGGGTCGGGCGCTGCGGCCAAGATATGCAATAACATGATGCTCGCCATCTCAATGATAGGCACGAGTGAAACACTCAATTTGGCCAAAAGGCTCGGTCTCGACCCCAAACTCATGACTCAAATATTAAATGTTAGTTCCGGTCGTTCGTGGAGTTCAGAGGTGTATAACCCGGTGCCGGGTATAGGAGAGAACCTGCCGGCCGGTAACGACTATAATGGAGGCTTTATGACTCGACTCATCACTAAAGATCTGGGTTTAGCGCAAACGGCCGCCACTCGAGCCAACGCTCCGACCCCTTTGGGAACACTATCTCATCAATTGTTTCGATTGATGCTTAATAACGGCTATTCCAGTAAAGACTTCTCCAGTGTTTATAAGTTTATCCAAGAATTTGACGATAAAAGTGTGTAAAACATTCCGTTGAAAATCTCATTTTGATAAAAATTGATTGTTTTTATATCTTTATACAAATTGTTAGAAATAAAACAAAATCTAAAATTCAATCACAATTGATAGCAATTAATAAATTAATTTCGACTAAAATATGACTAATTATTGTTATTATTAAATTAATTTTCTGTGAAATAAGGGATGATTCCATAAAATACAATGAGTGGAAGATTTATATAAAACTAATTTTAAGTGAATATCAATAAACACTAAATATAATCCCATTCATTGATCTGATTCGTCCATAAACGGGATTTCCTTATTTTCTTCAGTAATCGATTTTTCATTATTTAAGTCTTCGTTACATTCAATTTGAGTCTCAATCACTTCACTACTCGTTTCAGTTTCTAATAATGTAGTTTCAGTGTCCACTTCAATGGACTCATCACTCTTAGACTGAATGTCAGTTTCTGTGTTTTGATGATCGGAATCGATATTAGTTGTTAACTCTTGTATGTGAGCGGTCTGTGGGGCAGTTCTGTGGCCTCGTTCTGATTCGGTATCGCTTTCGGGTTCATCGATAACCGGCGGGAGTGACGAAAGTGAAGACCTTTTGTTGTGATCTGAAGGTTCGAGTGTTGGAGGAGTGGGTCTCGTCTTTCGCGAGGGATTGAATCGTTTGCAATAACAGCAGATGTAAGCAATGTATGGAAACTCTTCTTTCAGAGCCATTCCGTTGTGTGAATAACAGTGAATGCAAATCAATGCATACCTATTGTTGGGACCGTCGCCCACAACATAGTCCACCAGTTTGTCCATAACTGTTCGCTTATGAGGCAAAATGGGTTTTACTGTACGAATGGGTGGCGCCATCGGAATCGATGGCATCCTTTGTGGCGTCATTTGCGGACCTCTTATTAAGTTTTGTCTAAAAGCACTGTTGGGTTGCGTCGGAAATATAGGACTCGACATAATGGCAGGCAATGGTCTCATAGGAGTGTTATTAACCCGATATCTAAGCTGAGAATCAGTTGACAGTCTTTGAGACATATTAGTGAGTAAAGGAGTGGACGTCACGTTCAGTGTCCGCAACGAAACGCCTTCCAGAAGTGCTTTCGGGTCATATTTTTCGAGTATCTCTTTAGCGTCTTTGAAATTCTCCGTTTCCTTCACTTTCTCTAAAATCTTCTTCTTTTGTCGTTTCAATTGTTTGAGTCTTTCATCAGAATTATCTCCAATCCATCGGTAATATAATTGTAGTAAACGTTTAATACCAATAAAACTGCAATAAATCATATCATTATATCAGACGGACTTCAAGAC